ATTGGATATCACTTATTCTGTTCAACAACTTAGCAAGCATGTTCAGAAGCCCTGTGAAGATCACTGGACTGCTTTACAACATGTTCTCAAGTATCTCAAAGGATCACCTTCAGCTAGTTTATTTTATCCGGCACAGTGATGCAGACTGGGGCTCCAATCCTGTACATAGACGTTCTGTCACAGGATTTTGTATCTTGGGATTAGCACTTATCTCCTGGAAGACGAAACAGCAATCAACCATTTCATGCTCCTCCTCAGAAGCAGAATACCACAGTCTTAGCCATGCTCCTTCTTTCCGATTTTGGCTTGCAGATTTCTACTCTCATTTCTCTCTGGTGTGATAGTTGTTTAGCCATTTATATCACCAAGAACCCTGTGTCCTATGAACGTACTAAACATTTGGAGATCGATTGTCATCTGGTTTGTCAACATTTTCAGAAAGGATTCTTGGTGCCTCTTCATGTATCCTCCAAACAGCAGCGAGCCGACATCTTCACCAAATCCCTTCCTTGTCCCTCCTTTGTTGATCTTCTTGACAAGCTTGGCCTGCGTAATTTCTTGCATACACCGGCTTGTGGGGGGATGTAGATGATGATGAAGTTTCGGATCAACAATGTGTAAATGCAATAGATGAAGAAAATAAAGAAAACAGCAGCAACATTGATTAGATTTTAGGACTAAATTGTATAAGTTGCAAATGTAGAGGGTAGCCTTGTAAATTCACATGCGCTTAACAAAATCGGTTAGCTAAAACAGACACATTAAATATGCCTGATTGGCGGTTAATGAAAAATCAAGAAATTCCCTAATCAGATTTTTCTCTCATCGTTTATTTTTCTGATGAACGCTTTCGCTCCAATCTCTGATTCAAGAACGAGGTCACTTTGACTTCAATTTTAAAACGTAACCAGTTCAGTAAAACTCCTCAATCATGACCCTATTGTCCTTCTTTTTTTTTAATGAAGAAGAGGAAATTGTAACGCTATATCTTAGACTCTACTACAACGACTTAATTAATATATTGCTTAGTATAAATTCTCAAAAAAACAAAAAAAAAAATGAAAAAGAAAAATAAGATTAATTCGAACTATTTGTAAATCTATTGTATGAACCAATCTCACTTTGTAACTTGGCCATAACCAGTTGGTTTTTCAGCAGTCTCAATTAATTGTTCATTTCTCTAGGCCTAAATAAACAGAAAAGTGGAGTCTATCGACATTTATAGGGTTGCATCGATCACAATGAAGCTTGCATCACAATATTAATGGTCACTGAAAATACATATTTGATTTCAGTATGATCACATGGCTCAAATTATTTTCAGTTGAGCTTTGGGTGTGGAAGATTTTTTTGGCTAACTAGAACAGAGAATAATCCATATTTCTACCAAAGGTTTTCAGTTTTGACCCTTTCTCAGACAAATTGTAATAATGTCTCCTAGACTCCAACTCCCCAAACCCTACCAACAAAATTTTAAAATTTTCAGAAATGAATTAGGATCTTTATTAAGAATATAAATGTAATAATAGTTCACTCAACCCACATTCAATGCCATTTCGAAAAGAAACCCAAATTCAATGTAAATACAGGACCAAACTTTTTCTGTAAGCACGCTATGTTTTCGTTCCGTCGTACATTCTTCTACAGCACGAAAATCTTCACCACTTTATCCCTTATCTTCTTGTCAGGATTTCTTCGAAGACATTCTTCTTTCCTCAAAGTTTACAAGCAAAATAAAGACAAGATTTATTGAAAAAAGATTTCAAGGAGGAAGAAGTAGGATGCCTCCTAGCATCCTTTCCACTCCCTGGCCTTAGCGATTTACTTGACACTTTTATCAACCCTTCCGCAACAGAAAAATTACTTGCATTTAGAGGCCTTTCTTTGATTCGGTTACAGCATGTCTCGACAGTTTCCTGACAATTCCCGGCTCTTAAACTTACGGAGACCTGTGAGACCTTAAGAAATGAAGGAGCTTCTAATAGACATTCGAGATCTTTACCGAAACTCATGTCCTCGTGAGTCTGATTTAGAAAAGAACTCAAAGAGTACTTTTTCTGTTAAAAAATAATACTAACGGTAGGGAAGGTGAGCTTCACATCCGAGTGAATTCTTCCACTGAATCCTGGATTTATCTGTTCTAAATATTATTTGAGTTTGTTTTGCGACGAATGGTTGTAAGTCGATGATTATTGATTTTCTTTTTCTTGGCTGGTTCACTTGTCTGTAAACAAATAGGTAAGTATAATTGTTTTCCCCTACCTTCTTGCCGCATTGACTATATTTTTCCTGTAGATTTAGATAGTAAGGAATGACAACAAATACTTATTTACTAACAACAGACATAACATTAATAATTTAGCAAACACATTTTTTATTTTTGTTTCAAAATGATTGTCTTTTTTGTTACTTTCTTCAAATATAATTATCAAAAACTGGATTTTTATGTTAAGTATAATTTGTATCCCAAATGAAAGTTAAATCTGCTTATTTATTTCAACAAAGAGCAAATATATTTTAAAAATGATAAGAAAATTGGTTATTTTATTTTTGGACCCCAAATCCATGCTTTAGGGTCAGTTTCTGATGTAGCGCAGCCTTCAATTGGAACCGAATCCTAATTTTCAATCAAAAAATGATCAAAAAAGCCAGGGTATGAGAAAAGCTTCTCGTTTTTTGATTAATAAACAACTGCCGTTCAATGGCCAACGTACAACATCTGATAAAGAAATGAAAAGAAGCTCTAATCCGTAAGAAAACCCTAAAACCGACAAAGTTCAAAACTACCGTCAAAATAAAAAATAAAATGAGAATAATGCCAAAGAAAACTATCAAATATCAGCTGCATCTTTCCCCCCAGGATAGGAGAAATTCGCCCTCGAATTTGAAACAGCATCAGGAACATACGGGGTCAAGTGCTCGACAATGAAGACATCTGCAGTACGAAGGTGACTAGGCAACTTCAAGCGATAAGCATTAAGATTAATCTTCTCGAGAACCTCCAAAGGACCAATCTTCTTGGCAGACAGCTTATTGTAGTCACCAACAGAAAAACGATCCGTAGTCAACACTGTCCAAACGAAATCACCCACTTCAAATTCAACCGCCCGCCGACGAGAGTCCGCAGAAGCCTTATACTTAGCATTGGCGCGAATAAGGTTGTCAGAGACTGCTTGATGAACAGAATGAAGACCAGACACAAAATCACTAGCCTTCCCATGAAGGCGAGTAGGCAAAGGCAAAGGAAGAGGTCCACTGGAGCGCGAGGAAGAACATAATAGACAATCTGGAAAGGGCTAAAACTGTGCTGGGTACAATCAATCAAACGGTGACCCTGGTTTCGACGGATGAACAATGGCCGTTGGATCAGCTGCTGGGGTGGTGCTAACGCCGGTTGAAGCTGCAACTCCCAACGGCGAACCTTGCTGCACATTGCCACGACCAGGAGTTCCCCGACGCTGCTGCTGTTGGCGCTCGAGATCAGTTGCCCGCTGATGCGCAGCCGACAGAGATGGAGAATCCAACAGAGCGACGGTTTCCTGAATGGAAGGACAAAGACCAGCAATGAATCGAGCCACCTTCTGATCGTTATTCTCGGCCAAATCATTGCATGCAAGCAGCTTGTAGAAGTCGGACGAGTAATCAGCCACCAAACGAGAACCCTGCCGGAGAGTTTGCAAACGGTGATATAATGTTCGCTGAAAATTGGAGAAAACAAACTCTTCCTACATCACTTTTCGTATCTTATGCCAAGACTGAATTTTGGGCTTTCTCCGTCGAGAACGATCAAGCTTCAATTGCTGCCACCAGGCAGAAGCACGGTCACGGAGACGGGTAGCAACCAACGACACCCGTTTGTTCGAAGGAATGGACTTGAACTCAAATACCTCCTCCACGGTGACCAGCTACTCAAGTTAAACCCATTTATAAACCCCTTTACCCCATAAAATCCTTGGAGAAATGATACAAATTTTTTTATTCCATGAATTATAGGTTTGAAATTTCTTATTAAAGTCAATATGCTGGTCATAAAAGCAATTACCATCATCTACTCTTTTATCTGATTGGTAGTACAATTGTCTGGCAAAAGTCTGCAAAGTCCAAATTCAGAGTAATTGTCAAGAGTTGATACTCTGGTCATACAACAAAATTTCCGCTTACCATTAGAGTTGATTGTCTCTCACATTCGTAAGGGACTGATCGTGTATATCATAGACATGAGTTACTTCTATATCTCTATAATTCGAAGAGAAATAGATAGTAAATCAAATTGATCATTCGCGTACGCGGTGCAAGTATTTATTTGGTAAAACAAATTTACCGGATCCTAAATTAAGTTCATCAAATAAAACAAAAAAAATGAATTACTTTTATGAAACCAAGACAATATTTACCAAAGATTATTAATATTTTTTTGTAAGGGCAGAATTGTTTGATACATCAATGATGAAGTCAAAGATAAAACTACTGAGAAGAAAAAATTCCCAATTATAGGGGGCCGGTTGACTAGTTAATAATCCTGTTGGTGATGTAGTATTACATTTTAGTTCGCTAGATGAATTTAATCAATGTGAGGCTTTCTTATATTGAGTTAGATTGATTGGAGTGAAAGAATAAGAGAGAAAATAACAAATAACATTAAGGATGATATTACAATGGTCATGGCACTTTGTTCGCGTTCTCCAAAAAAACCGGAAGAAACTATTACGATAGTACTACTTGAGATTAACAACAGATTCCTTTCTAAATTAAATGCTTCATTGTTCAACAACAAATTTAGTATACTCCACGAACTTAACAAATAGCCAATGAAGCAAGCTGCTTGTAATTAAATCAATTTGGGGGTTACTACCATCATTCTACCATCTTTCTTGTACTTCAATGTTCAATTATGGCAGCTTCACCCAGCAAATACGATCTTGAGAAACGATGTCCCGTCGGCATCGAACAGTTGCGACTCCATCAAAAAGCGCTGGATTAGTAGTCATCCTCCTTCATAATTATTGGAAATTCCACAAAGTATCTGTTGCTTGTTCCACTTGGAACGAGTCGCTGTTATCAAACAACGCCGGCATCATTCCGTCAGCGTTCCAGCCAGCTAAAAATGAGTCTGACATCTCAATAAGTTGTTGATGAAGATTATACGTCGGTTGATCATCATGAATTGGTTGTGGTGGCACAACATCGCAAACAATATTAGGACTAATCGCAGTTCCACTCCATGGTTGTTGCCTTCTTTCATCAAGCTGATGGACTCCTTGTCGATCAGCACCTTCCTCATAACCGGAATATGACATGCTTCCGTCAACCATAGTTGTACCAGCACTACACGCAGTTCCACTCCATGGTTGTTGATGAAGATTATACGTCAGTTGATCATCATGCATCGGTGGTGATGGTAGTGGTGGCGCAACATCGCGAACAATATTAGAACTACTCGCAGTTCCACTCCATGGTTGTTGACTTGCTTCTTCCAGCTGATGGACTCCTTGTCGATCAGCACATTCCTCATAACTGGAATATGACATGCTTCCGTCAACCATTGTTGTACTAGCACTACTCGCAGTTCCAGTCCATGGCTGTTGATGAAGATTATACGTCGGTTGATCATCATGAATCGGTGTTGATCGTAGTGATGGTGCAACATCGCAGAAAATATAAGAACTACTCGCTGTTCCACTCCATGGTTGTTGACTTCCTTCTTCCAGCTGATGGACTCCTTGTCGATCAGCACCTTCCTCATCCCCGGAATATGACATGCTACCGTCAACCATACTTGTACTAGCACTATTGTTGTGAAAGTTATTGTAACAATTATGTTGAATCGGCAATCCTTCTTCCTGCTGATGAATTACTGGTGGCTCATCAACACCTTCATTACACCCCGAATATGACATGCTTTCATCATCCATAGTAGTGCTAATAGTACCATTATTTTGAGACAGAACTGCTATTTGCTGCTGAGGATATCCAACTGATCCCATGACTTCTGTAGATGAATAATCTCCTTGATTATGAATTTTGACGTCGCCACAACTATCCTTGCGCTTCCGGCCAACCATCTTGGCATTACGTGCTGAAGAAGTAGAAGTAGCCTTGGATGAATCCTTTATCTTACAATCTTTCGAGTTATCCTTAACTATGCGACAGATGACGTAATCGCTGCTTTTAATCCCGGGTTGTTTCAGAACTTGCTCTGACAGCGAAAACTCGTGCATGTACCAAGATCCTTTGCCCCTTGCCTTGGATTTCACCGTGTAAGTTAACTGTTTATGATATCCCATAACTTTGCTACCTTGTAAGTCCATCACCGGCTTGTTGGTCATCTCCGCGTTCCATGTTCCGCAACCGGCCGATCTACCAATCCTCTTCGCGCTCATCTGAGATAGTTTAGTTACAACGAAAACAACCCTTCTGCTATGGCTGTTCTTACCAGCCGATTCATCGTACAGCTCCCACTTGTTATCGGGGATGTCAGAGAAGAGGTTCCAGGGCTCCTTGCTAGCCTCAGCGCCGTATAACTCTCTTTCAAGAACGTTGTTTGTATGCGTTGAAATTTCTTCGCCACAAGCCTTACGCTCAAGAAGCCATAGAAGCTCTTGTTGAGTTGGTCTGAATCGGGAACCAACAACATCCATATCTTCTTGATTTGACTATAACTCAGAAGAAAAAGGCTGATTCAAGCAGGATGAAAACGAAATCTACGAAATGTTTAACCAGCAAAGAGATTTAGGGTTTGCTCTTTATGAATACATGGACGTAACTAGCTAGTTATATATATATATATATATATATATATATATATATGTTGATTGAGGTGGCGGTTATCTGTCCCAATTTACTGATCGGATTTTGTTTTATTAATAGTCGGCAGTCTGCGTACACACGTTTTGCAACAACTTTTTAGCGAGTATTACGTGCGGAATTTAGTTTTATTCTTGCTTTAATTTTTTCTAGTTCCTTTGGGAAATGGGATAATGTAAGACTCAAGAAAATTTACTAGCTATTCGGAGGCCTAATTACCTAAAACAGACACTTAAAAGCCTAGATGAAAGATAATAACATCAAGTATTTTATAAAAGACTGTTGTTTAGGTTAATAAAACAACAAATTCAACATAATTCTAAAATAAATTAAACATAATTGGAAAATGGATGGGCTAAGTGTTTAGATTATTCATTAAAGAAACTCCCTAAGAACTTTTTTATATATTAATCTCACTACCACTTTTGGGTTAAGCTTGGAATCCTGGTCATATAGCCACTCTACGAAAAAAAAAAAGAAATTAAGAAAGAAACAGAATTACTTAATCAGATTAGAATATATAAATTTTGGCTAGTCTCCATTATCTTTGTCACCATGGTGCGTGGCTAATAAACTAAAGAAACGCAAAAAGTTCTCTTTCCAATGTGTTCTCTCCAGTGCCTCCATTTCGATGATTCTCATTAAATTTTAGAAGCACTAGTGTATGCAGAAAGGAATATTTTATTCATTTATTTTATATAATGGTTGATTACTCTACACCGCTTCACATTTGTCTTATCCTTAATTTGACGCTTAAAACAAAAGTTCCTCTTCTATTCAACACGACTGCCTCAATCATTTATTTATTCTCATAAGAACTTGGAACGGTAGTCCAGTTTTGTTATCTTTTTTGGCACATATGCACCTCGCCATGTTTTTGATATTCCTTTCCTCCGAATTGAAGACAAATCAAAAGACAAAGGAATTTCAATGTTAAAGTTTTGAATATTTAAGTTTTACTAGAAACAATAGGGTAGTGCTTCATGAATTTGAGCAGATTTATTAAATCAACTGAACTCAAGTAGAATGAATAACTAACTAGTGCTTGCTTAGGCCAAACATACGTTCATAAGTTAAATTAAGCCTTTGGGTTTTAAAGACTTTGTAGTAGAACAATCTTGAATTCTATACATAGTACTACCTCCATATTCTTTATCTATCATAGTAGGGTGAATCTAAAATATTTTTTTATCTATTTTGCCTCATTTCCAATGCAAAATTAAATACATTTTTTTAAATTTTACACTTATTTCTCCACTTTGAATAACATATATTAATGACAATTACCTATGTTTCACGCTCTAATTTCAAATTTTTATACAGTTTCAATATTTAATTAAGGGCAAGAGAAACAATACATTTTAAAAATTAAGGGATCAATCATTATTTCCTTAATAGTGATTCAAACCCTAAAGTGATAGATGAAACTAGCCATAAACTAGTCAACTTTCCGTATAGTGCTTGGGATGGTTCATCTCTTTTTGTTGTTTGTAGACTATTGTATCAACTTCAAAATAAATTGGGGTGCATGGCATGCATACACTCCTTTTTCCGAATCATATCGTGTATTTTAATCAATATTAGAGTATATTAGGAGCCCCAAAAAAAAATTACAACCTTTAAGTTCTTCCGTTTACGGAAGTGACAAATTCATAAAAAGACTTCATTAAACCCCTCCGTCTTACTTTGATTGTGTAATTTGTTGGGTTATCTCCTCAATGTCCAAGGCTCGTTAGGTTTGGATTTTATTAGCCCGATAAGTGAGTTAGGAATTCAGTATCAATATGAGAGGTTTGTACTAAAATAAGTTGGAGAACACAGTGTAATCGTCAAGGCAAAAAGGAGAGGAAAAATAGAATTGGGGGTGAGAGACAATGTGTATCGACGGAGGCTCTACACTTGTGGGCACTTCTATTTTTCAGATATATAGTGATGGTGTGTTTTCTCATGGACGTAGATCTATTGAGAGATCAAACCATGTTAAATATGTGTTTGTTGCATGTTGATTTCCGCTGCGTGTGTTAATTGTTTATGAAGAGGGGTTTCAATCCGAAATTGTTGTATCAAAGCCCACGCTACAAAAAAGGTTGTCGTACCCACGGAATTTCACATCTCGTAGGAAATTCTACCCACAATATACCCACCCAACACCCACATTGAGCTGACCAAAATGGGGTCAAAACATTCAATTTTCCAACGTGTTGTCCACGCATTACCCACAAATTTATAGACAACATTAAATCTTGTCGGTAATCCGTGGGTAATGCTTTTCCACAAGAAAATTCCCCACGTATTACACACAGATTTCTTTGGGGTTAATTTGACACGACAGCTACGGTCTGGGCAATCTGTAGCTAAATTAAATTACCCACGATTTATCAACAATATTTTTGTGGGTAAAGTATTTCTGGGTAATTCGTGGGTAAGCAATGGTAAGACCACAGGAAATTTTAGAAAATTTCGCTAAGTGTTGGGAACGGTGGTCTTTAAAGACCATGGTGCTTTTAGTAACCCACGACGATTTCGTGGTTATGTGGTGGGAACTTGTGGGTAAATAGCAATTACTTTTTTTTGATTGATTATTAAATTTTAGGTAAATAAAGAAGGTTTTTAAAGGTCACTATAAATATTTATAGACCACGGTGGTTTTAGTTGCCCGCGATCTTTTTGTGGGTAACTCATGCGTACATTGCAATTACTATTTTTGATTGATTTTTCTATTTTAAATAAATAAATGTGGTCTTTAAGGACCACGGTGGTTTTTAATTACCCACGATCATTTGGTGGGGAACTCGTAGATAAGTCGTGTGTAAATTGTAATTATTATATTTGATTGATTTATGTATTAAAAATAAATAAAGTGTTTTTTATAATTTTTTATAGCTCTGAAAGTATGAAATTTGGTAATTAACTAAATTCATATGTAAAAGAATTTTCATTTAATTATTTAATCAAATGATTTTCAATATTGTGTATCTCATAAATATATACCGCACGTACTGTGTGTGTGTGCGCACATATCTATATATATATACAAATTAATATATGTATATATATATTTATATATATTTATTTAATACTAAAAAAACAGTTATCCTATATATTTAGGAACATTTGTAATAAATATAGTATGTTTGTACTTTTATTGTCAATAACTATAAAATCTATTACTTGTACACAATCATTAAATATTAACAATAATTCATTTCAAGTGAACAACTGATTGATGATAACAGTAATCATATAGTTATATTACTTTTAAGTAGTTACATAATTGATAATGTCTGTAATGTTTATAAATCGCAGAGCTTGCCAAGTTATCTTAGGCTTAGCTGAATGAATTAATGAAATATATTTTCTAGAACTGTATTATCTCGCTAAGATCAAACCGATGGAGGAGTTTTACTGGGACTTTAAATTTGATGTAGTCGTCCAGCAACATACCCGATCCCAGTTTATAATGGAATATATTCGACTAGCAAGATAGTGATTGACGAGTGTAGATCATGATGATGTTCAGGATCAACAATGTGTAAATGCAACAGATGAAGAAAATAAAGAAAACAGCAACAATAGCATTGATTGGATTTCAGGACTAAATTGTATATGTTGTAAATGTAGAGGGTGGCGTTGTAAATTCACATGCGCTTAACAAAGTCGATTTCCTAAAACAGGCACATTAAATATGCCTGATTGGCAGTTAACGAAGAATCAAGAAATTCTCTAATCAGATTTTTATCTCTTATCGTTTATTGTTCTGATGAACACTTCTGCTCCAATCTCTTATTCAAGATGGTATCAGAGCAGGATCTGATCCTGTTCTGAACCAGAATCAGCTGATAAACTAGAATCGAAACCCTAAGTCAGGTTCTTGGAAGTATGAGTCGCGAAAAATGGCAAAGGATCATGGATTTGGACGGTAAGAAGACAATCGCCAGGAAGATGCAGAGTTGATGCCGTTTGGAGGAGGATACATCCATTTGCTCACTATTCATCCATAAGATAATTCCTCGATGGTAATTGTTTCTACAAAACTCACTGATAACAATTACATATCTTTGAGTCATGCTGTCAAATGATTTCTTGGAACTAAAAACAAATTCGGTTTTTTGAATGGATCAGTACCAACGCCTAATGTAACAGATTCGACTTATGAATAATGGAACCGTGTTAATGATATATTAGTTTCTTGGATCCTTAATTGAATTTCACCTGAAACTGTGGATAACTTTGATTTTGTTCATACTGCTGTTGAGTTGTGGTTGGAGTTAGAAGAGAGTATTGGTACCAAGAACGGATTTCAGATCTATAGGTTAAGAAGAGAAGTTGCTACCATTGCTCAAGGTAACATGAATGTGGCTGGTTATTATTCGAAATTGAAAAGACTCTGGAATGAACTAGGGTAAGTGGTTCCGCCTGATGTTTATGTTTGCAATGGCTGTACTTTTTGTCTCAATCGAGTTGGTGGAAGAGAAAATTGTCATCAACTGATGCAATTTCTGATTGGGTTAAATGAGTTTTTCAGTGCTGTTAGAAGCTAAATTCTGATAATGGATCCGTTACCAGAAGTTAAGAAAGCTATTCAATGGTTTTCAGCATTGAGAAGCAACAAATAGTGAACAAACTGTGTAGGATTCCTATTGATCAGAGTGCTATGATGGTACAGAGATCAAACTACAAGGCTCCTTCAGCTGGTGGAAAGGAAAGTAATAGCTACATGAATAAGGAGAATCATATAAGAATGGATAAGGCAGCTAAGAAACTCCTGAAATGTGATCATTGCCATATGACAGGTCATTTGAAGACAGGTTGTTTCAAGTTGATTGGGTATCGA